GTGTATTTATGTTTATTATATATATGTGTGTGTGTGTGTGTGTGTGTGTGTGGTGTGTGTGTGTGTGTGATGTGTGTACGTCTGTGTATGAATTCGGTAACGTATAATAAGCGGTAGTGATAGTATGTTTTCTACTAGCGAGGTTGTAAGTAAAAGTACATATCAGTTATTGAGTCTATAAGTTTAACCCATTTAAACACCCGTTCGTTTATATTGTTTGCCGGTGGAGGACCAATGTGATTCTTCAGTCCTTGACGTAGCAGCTCATCACATACACACTGCCCATTCTAAAAACAGAACACTACTCTATTCTATTTATATCTCAGAGCGGACGGACTCCGCGTCTCGTGTCCATCTCCGCGTGGCTGTGGATGTGTCAGTGGAGGACCAATTCCGTCGCATTGAACTGCGGTCCACTGTACAAGTACTCAACGACACCACACTCGCACTGGACGTGGGCTGTGAGGTGCTCGATGGAAGTTCGGTACGTATATGGACAGCTGTATGTATATAAGTGTGTGTCTTTGTCTGTGTCTGTGTCTGTGTCTGTGTCTGTGTCTGTGTGTCTGTGTGTGTGTGTGTGTGTATTAAGTTTCTCTCAGCATAGTCACATAACAGAATAAATTCCACGTATACGCTTGTACTCACTCATTAATATTATCTACCTCCATTCCATTACTTTGCAGAAACGTACCGTAAAGATGGCGACAGTCAGTGCCGGTGATGTGTACAATGTGCCTCTCTATCCCAGCTACTACAGCACTGTGCGTGTACGCCCTACGGGATACGCCTACGACTGGGGTGTTGAGGGTTTGTCCTGGTTGCGTAGCAACAACCATGCCAATGGCCGGGCCAGGAAGAAAGAAGTTCGGTACAAGTCTTCGAAGCATCAGACCTGCTTCGTTGCGGGTGATACAGAGGATGTAGAGGATGGTGCGGGTGGAAGTAGCAGTGATAATGGACAATTAACAAGGAGTTTCTTCAGGCTGGCGACGTATGTGGGCCCTCCTACACTGCCTGCCATCGCACCTGTAGCAGCACCGTATCCACGCCAGGTCATGTCATAT